TGCAAAACTATTTGAGGATCTGTTTGATATATCAACCACGCTTTGTTGAAAGATATCGGACGGTTTCTGAGTTGTGCGCCGGAAACAAAATCCACCACCACCTCTTGAGACTTGGTACAAATTGTTTCCATAGAAATCGAGAAAAAGAAAAATGCCCAAAATCTGCTAATACTACTTGAGGATATGTTTGATATATCAACCACGCTTTGTTGAAAGATATCGGACGGTTTCTGAGTTGTGCGCCGGAAACAAAATCCACCACCCCCTCTTGAGACTTGGTACAAATTGTTTCCATGGAAATCGAGAAAAATAAAAATGCCAAAAATCTAAAAGGCACTACTTGAGGATCTGTTTGATATATCAACCACGCTTTGTTGAAAGATATCGGACGGTGTCTGAGCTGTGCTCCGGAAACGAAATCCACCACCCCCCTCTTGAGACTTGGTACAAATTGTTTCCATGGAAATCGAGAAAAATAAAAATGCCAAAAATCTAAAAGGCACTACTTGAGGATCTGTTTGATATATCAACCACGCTTTGTTGAAAGATATCGGACGGTGTCTGAGCTGTGCTCCGGAAACGAAATCCACCACCCCCCTCTTGAGACTTGGTACAAATTGTTTCCATGGAAATCGAGAAAAATAAAAATGCCAAAAATCTAAAAGGCACTACTTGAGGATCTGTTTGATATATCAACCAGCTTTGTTGAAAGATATCGGACGGTGTCTGAGCTGTGCTCCGGAAACGAAATCCACCACCCCCCCCTTGAGACTTGGTACAAATTGTTTCCATGGAAATCGAGAAAAATAAAAATGCCAAAAATCCGGCAAAAGCAAAAGGCACCACTTAGGATCTGTTTGATATATCTACCATTTGTTTTTGTTGAAAAATATTGAAGGGTTTTAGAAAGGATGACCGGCGGACGGACAATAAAATGTCAGTGCCAGAGAATAACCAGTCTTGATTATCAACCGAAACAAACTTCACTTTGAGAGCAAAATAGCTGTAAAGATCATATGAATGGACCACTAAATATCAGTGACGACACCACGTGTTCGCGAAAAGGGTAATCATGTCCCGCTCTACTAGTAGCACGTGCCATATCCACACAGTTTGCCTGATAAAAGTAAGTGTTTATTGCCTGACGCTGTACAGCAGTACGCCTGTCGTGCGACGGCGGCCTGTCAATAAACCAAACAATCCAGTGATGGATGGACCAGAAATCCAGTAACACGTTAGTGTATTTACTGATTTTGATGAAACTAATAAAACTAAGAAACGAACACATAATGCAGATTTCTCCTCAAACGTTTAATGAAGTTGACCCAGGTTTAGCATGCTGTATGATGATGATGACATGTATATGGCCACACCAAATTGGCACTTAAGATGTAGCTGTAGGATGCACATATTTGAAAGCCTGACAAAGTAATGAACAAATGAATCAACTCTAAATAATTGTAGTTACATTAAAAGTTGACTACTGTTCAACCTTATGCTTGTCATAAGAGGCGACTAACGGTATCTGTCAGGCTCACTGACTTGGCTGATGCATATCGACCATCGTTTCCCAAAGATCAATGATATCAATCACTGGATTGTCTGGTCCGTCATATAACCATTCAATCTGAACACAACAGACCATGCATGAGGTGATTTTAGAGTATCATACATTGTGCCCCACCATAATTATATCATACGTCACTCCCACTTTCAGGACCGCCTCCATGGTCGAGTGAATAGAGCGTCTGTCTGGAGGGTGAATGTCGGTGGTTAGATCCCCTGGCCTGATACTGATACTAAGAGACGGTAAAAGTTGACCAGTACTTATTGTTACCCTGTGTGCTGCATGCTTGCCATTATAAAACAAGGACTGGTCGGCTCGGAGTCAGTATATTGTGTCTGAGGACCTGTGAACATCCGACTTAGAATAGGTCTTCAGCAACCCATGCTTGCATGAAGAGGCGACTATGCTTGTCATAAGAGTCGACTTATAGGTGATCGGACCCGTGAAGAAAAGGTCCGGGGTAGAATAGGTCTTCAGCAACCCATATGCACATGTAAAAGGCGACTATACTTGTCCTTTAGAGGTGACTAACGCGACCGGGTGGTCAGTCTCAATAACTTGGTTGATGCATGTTATCGAATCCCAATTGCGTGGATTGATGCTCATGATGCCAATCACTGGATTGTCGGGTCCAGTCTCGATTATTTACAGGTGAGGTGAAGTGGGGTTTTAATACAGCCCATGCAAGTCTATGATATTTAGCAAGTCTAGATTACTGCAGTATCTAAAACCGATATGTCCCTCCTCTTCAAACCTCACTTTGGAGTTGAATAAAATTCAATACAACACATCACGCACACAATTACACTTCACAGGTTTTCATTCTGTGGGAATTTCCCGGTTTTGTGATATCATCCACTGTCGTTTTAGGCAAAGCAGAATTACAGAAAATGACCTCTGTAAATTAGGTACGTGATAGATCACGCCATTTTTAAACATTACTAAGTCACAATTCACGGAGTTATTTACAGCATGGTTTGAAATTTAAATTTCGGATAATTACTTGGAGAAATTAATTTCAAATAGAGCATATTAGTGATCACAGGTATCTGTCGTTTATCAAATCACCCATGATGATTCCAAAACGTCGCCGATAACCCTAGAATCGTTTAGAATATTTTTTAAAATACCCAAACACGAACGCCGACGTAAACTTTGCGCCATACGTATATTGGAGAGTGTTTACAAAATCCCGTTTCACCTGTGTGGAATTATGAGACGCCTATTACATCACGTATGTTTCACACTCAGCTAGTATACATACATCCTTGAATGCTTTGGTCCTGGTCCTGGTCCTGGTCCTTGTCCTGGTCCTGGTCCTGGTCCTTGTCCTGGTCCTTGTCCTTGTCCTGGTCCTTGTCCTGGTCCTTGGTCCTTGTCCTTGTCCTGGTCCTGGTCCTTGGTCCTTGTCCTGGTCCTTGTCCTGGTCCTGGGTCCTTGTCCTGGTCCTGGTCCTTGTCCTTGGTCCTTGTCCTGGTCCTTGTCCTTGGTCCTGGTCCTTGTCCTGGTCCTTGTCCTTGTCCTGGTCCTTGGTCCTTTGTCCTGGTCCTTGTCCTGGTCCTTGTCCTGGTCCTTGTCCTGGTCCTGGTCCTGGTCCTTGGTCCTGGTCCTGGTCCTTGGTCCTGGTCCTTGTCCTTGTCCTTGTCCTGGTCCTTGGTCCTGGTCCTGGTCCTTGTCCTGGTCCTTGTCCTGGTCCTGGTCCTTGTCCTGGTCCTTGTCCTGGTCCTTGGTCCTGGTCCTTGTCCTGGTCCTTGGTCCTTGTCCTGGTCCTTGGTCCTGGTCCTTGTCCTGGTCCTTGGTCCTTGTCCTGGTCCTGGTCCTTGTCCTTGTCCTGGTCCTTGGTCCTGGTCCTTGTCACCAATATCAAGTGTCCAGGAGAAATCAAGCATAATAAATTAGAGTTGGAAACGAACGCTGTGCACCGAGTAAAACTGCACTTCTTAGAAATGTAAACAAAGCAAAATTAAGATTTTACACAGTGTAGCATTTTCTCCTATTTTGAGCTATCCATTCGTCTATTCGTTGAATACATTAGCGCAACATTTTCAGACTATGCATGGGAAGAGAATCGTAGCAAGAATTAGGGAATTAAAAATATATACATTGCAATGATTTGGTAAATTCAACAAAAATTGTCAAAGTTTCCGTCCTGCGTGACGCCATGACTGACGCAAAATCACGCACAACCACATCGGTATTTCTTGAAAAATATACAATCAAATCAAAGTACACAGATTCTCGGAATGTTTCTGCTGACTTGTGTGTGCACACACACACATATAGTATTTAGTGGAAATTGTATGCATATTTCTCAATTTGTACTGTTTGTTTGTTTATTTGCTGTTTAACGCCACACTCAGCAATATTCCAGCTATATGATGGCAGTCTCTAAATAATCGAGTCTGGACCAGACACTCCAGTGATTGACATCATGAACATCGACCCACGCAATTTGGATAAGATGACATGCATCAACCATAGGCGCCCTTTTACGGCAAGCATGGGTTGTTGAAGATCTATTCTACCCCGGATCTTCACGGGTCTCAATTTGTACTGAATCTCCATGCTTCAAACTTTGGCTGTAACGTTAATACCAGGAACATTTATTATTTAAAAAATCTATGCGACGCTAAGAAAAACAGTAATTAGCTCAGTAGTTCAGTAGATGCATAGCAAACCAAAACTCTTCTGGTACTTTATTCATATCAAGGTCCTCATAATATAAGGATTTGAAGTCAGTTGTGGAGAACTAAAGGTTTTTTTTTCTGTATAGGGTCAATATTTTTTCAGTTTACTCCTGTTGTCTGCTCAATTTCTGTCCACACCCGCCAACACAAGTCACGTTATGTCATATGGTATAATTTCTGAACATAATGCAGAACCCTTTTCCTCTACACAATAAAAGCTACATTTTGTGTTAACATTTATAAATCCACTGTTCCTTTAAAGAAAATTATTGCATATAACTACAAATCTGGCCAAGCGAGTCTGTGAGACAGAGGCCTTTTGATTGAAAATATTTTTTAAAGTTCACTATTTTTCAGGCCAAGCTGAGATTTGGCTTCATACCACTGAGTCACTGTCAAGTTTTCGAACATGCACGGACAAAGGTAATGACGTCATGTTTTTAGCTCTGACGTCAGCATCATCAGGCCCTCTGTGAAAGATTTAGATCAAGATTTGCTCTGGGAGGTTTCAACCGGACTGGTTTCCTTCTGTCTGTAGCGCAACGAAGCTTGGTACCAGTTTTAATAAGCTTCTCACATCGATGTATTGTTTCCTACACATTCAATGAGGTATCCATACCGCGGGTAGCATGCAAAGTAATGGAGCTTTTCCTGAAACTAGTTCCACGATATTGTTGCGCCCGAAACTTAGAGACGGGGCCAAGCTTTCGTCTGTGTCCCGCGGCCAGCGCAGAAGTACCATCCAACACGACCTTGAACTTTCTTGAACCAGAAAATGGCGACCAGGAAGTGATTTTGGGAAGTGATCGTGATGGTGTTTGCTGTTTTATAGGCAAAATATGAAATGTCATGGATACCTTATCAGCCCGTGGATACATAAGGTAGTATCTTCACTATTTATAATTTTTAAAGATATTTTGAAAGTATAGAATAAGTTATAGACACGGATCTAGCAAGACTTGCATTCGACTGCACCAACAGGCACTGGGTCACAGGGTGCGTCCGAGGCAAGACATGCTCATTGGTGTCAATCCTCTCTCCTCTCAGGAAATAATGGAGCAATGTTCGTCAATATATTATGACCGCTAATTGTGAATGAACCGCGGTCACGGTAAGTGTCTCCAGTGTGAATTGGATTGTTTTGACTTTTTCTCAGAAAAAAACCACAGGGAAGCTGAAACTCGGATGATCGCTCTAATATTGTCAGCCTGAAGTTTGTTCAAAAGATAAGCGTGCTATTGTTAGCCATTACCCGTGTGTTATTTGTTCATATAATTTAAATTTATTCATGTGGCCATTGACTTTGTTTGGAAATAGGAGGTTTTGACAGTAACCATGGTAACTTAAAGTTAGCACAGAGAATGGTTTCTGCTTATGATCTTTAAAAATGTGTATTTAAAAATTAAATGTGAACAGCAAGCAGTAATTTTGATGTGTAAAAAATACATTGTGCTTGAGAGCTGTTCCTGCTTGTAGAATAATCAAGACATGAAAAATGTTACAAAATACATTTAGATCTAGTACTTCAAAAATCTTTAAGAAACATTTTCTCAGAAACCACAGACCTAGAACTTTTGCTATGATGTGTAATTATACAATGGGATTAATTTTTGACAAAAAATGTAAAGAAGTACCTTATTTTTGTATGAATTGATATTTTACCTAAATTAATTGTAACTTTTTCAAATCTTCCCAGAAGGTACAGGGATGCAGTGTGCAGTGTGAGTGATATGGAGAAACACAAGCGGACTCAAAGCTGTTCATGCCTGGCCAGTAAAAAATAACAATACACTTAACTTTTTTATCGGGCCATGACAAGGACCCCTTGATTTTTATGCTTAATTTCGGACCATGTTTACTTCTCAGAAACTGTGGTGCTGGTTTACATCAGTTGTTAATCATCATTCTATAAAGTTGCTTTGACTTTTACATAGAGCTCTGACAACAAACCAACCACATGATTCGGTTTAGTTTGTGGTTCTGGCTCTATGACCATGACCTGTAAAAAGTGTGGACCAGACAATCCAGTGATTGACATTGCGAGCAATGATCTACTCTGTTGCATACTTTGACCTGACCACCTGGTCCATTCCGTTGGTTACAATGACCTGACCATTTGACCCATTCTGTTGATTACAATGACCTGACCATTTGACCCATTCTGTTGGTTACAATGACCTGACCATCTGACCCATTCTGTTGGGTACAATGACCTGACCACCTGGTCCATTCCGTTGGTTACAATGACCTGACCACCTGGTCCATTCCGTTGGTTACAATGACCTGACCACCTGGTCCATTCCGTTGGTTACAATGACCTGACCATCTGACCCATTCCGTTGATTACAATGACCTGACCATCTGACCCATTCAGTCGGTTACATTGACCTGACCATCTGACCCATTCCGTTGGTTACAATGACCTGGTCATCTGACCCATTCCGTTGGTTACAATGACCTGACCACCTGGTCCATTCCGTTGGTTACAATGACCTGACCACCTGGTCCATTCCGTTGGTTACAATGACCTGACCACCTGGTCCATTCCGTTGGTTACAATGACCTGACCATCTGACCCATTCCGTTGATTACAATGACCTGACCATCTGACCCATTCAGTCGGTTACATTGACCTGACCATCTGACCCATTCCGTTGGTTACAATGACCTGGTCATCTGACCCATTCCGTTGGTTACAATGACCTGACCATCTGACCCATTCTGTATGTTACAATGACCTGACCATCTGACCCATTCTGTATGTTACAATGACCTGACCATGTGACCCATTCCGTTGGTTACAATGACCTGACCATGTGACCCATTCCGTTGGTTACAATGACCTGACCATCTGACCCATTCCGTTGGTTGCAATGACCTGACCATCTGACCCATTCCCTTGGTTGCAATGACCTGACCATCTGACCCATTCCCTTGGTTGCAATGACCTGACCATCTGGTCCATTCCGTTGGTTACATTGACCTGACCATCTGACCCATTCCGTTGGTTGCAATGACCTGACCATCTGACCCATTCCGTTGGTTACAATGACCTGACCCATTCTGTTGGTTACATTGACCTGACCATCTGACCCATTCCGTTGGTTACAATGACCTGACCATCTGACCCATTCTGTTGGTTACAATGACCTGACCATCTGACCCATTCCGTTGGTTACAATGACTTGACCCATTCTGTTGGTTACATTGACCTGACCATCTGACCCATTCCGTTGGTTACAATGACCTGAACACCTGACCCATACTGCTCCAGCAAGGGGGTGGAATGTCCATGTTCGCCATCAGTAATCTGGCACTTGTGTTTCCAATAGGTGTGTCTTGTACTGTAGACCCAAGGCAAGTCCTATGTTAGATGCTGCTGGGTTTGGTCCGGGTTTGCCTGTTTTGATTGCGTTGTACAACTTCATATCAGGTGCTATGAAGTCACACATAACACATTTCAATGTCATTTTCAAGCATGTATTTTCTTTCTCTGGCTATCTGCAGGTGAGGCTTGTCATAGTCAGTGGATGTTGAATGATGCGATCTCACGGCTGTGTTCCTTGCCTCGGCCATCTTTTCATTGTCACATTCCCTCCACATCAGCTTTGCTTGACTCTTGTTTCAGGTCTTGCTTGCTGGCCGCAGTTTGACCCAACAGCCACACAGAGGGAGAGATGCAGTCACAGAGTGGTGTGGACAGCCCAGTGCCATCCAACCTGGACTTGGTGACCAGTGAGAAGTTTTCAGCACTCATCCTGGTGACAGTCCTGGATATCTGGGGTGGAGAGGCACTTTCTGACTCTTCAGATTGAAAGGTGAGACCTTTGTTCCAGGCAGTGTGGCCCTTGCTGAACTGTGACTTGATTCTCTTGCCACTGACTTTCATCGTGATTGTTTTATTAGAAATCTCAAGATCTACACATGTCTTGTGCCAGCCCACCTCACCTCACCCCACCTCACCTCACACCACACCACCTCATTTCACCCCACCCCACCTCACCCCACCACCAGACAATCCAGTGATTGACATTATGAGCAACGGTCATCACAAGTGAGACCTGATGACATGCAATCAAGTCATCAAGACTGACCATCTGAATCTGTCGCTTCTGAGGACAAGACCTGTGAAGATTCCGGAGTAGAATAGGTCTTCAGCAACCCATGCTTGCTGTAAAAGGGGACTATGCTTGTCGTAAAAGGCGACTAACGGGATCAGGTGGTCAGGCTCGCTGACTTGGTTGATACTTGTCATCGGTCCCAATTGCGTGGATCAATGCTCATGATATTAATCACTGGATTGTCTGGTTCAGATTCGATTATTTACAGACTGCGGTCATATAGCTGGAATATTGGTGAGTGGGGCGTTAAACAACAAACCAACCAACCAATCTGAGGACAAGCATGAGTTGCTGATCATGAAGCACTGGGCCGCCAGGGGCAAACTTAGGTTCATGTTTAATGTGGATGGTCTGGAAGTGAGATTCAGATTTAAGGATGGTTTGTGTAGCTTCAGGTTGAAGGCTTTCTCTGGAAATGGGTCAAGTGGTCAAATAGACTATGCATACTAGCCAGATATTGGTTTGCATAGCTTCAGGTTAAAGGCATTGTGTTTAGATTACAGGGTGTCATCAGGGTGGTTTGTGATTTTTCTGGTTCAGTCATTCTCTGGAGATGAGTCAAATCGTCAAATCAACTGTGTCCAGTGTCCAGAGGCCCACTTGCACAAAGCGATCTTAGTGCTAAGATGATCGAAACTCCCATACTTTAACTTAGGCTTACAACAGTCTTAGCGCTAAGATCGCTTTTTGCAAGTGGGCCCAGGGTGTCTTAAGGGTGTTTTGTGTTGTTTCTCTGGAAATGGTCAAGTGTATAGTAACCAGACACATCATAGCACGGGTAGGTGTCGATTACAAGGTGTCTTAAGGATGGATTTGTGCAGTTTCTGGTTAAAGTTATTCTCTGGACATGAATGAAGTGTTCAAATAGACTCTGTTCTTAGAGCATACTGAGTGAGAGAGTATGGTTTTACGCTGCTTTTAGCAATTTTCCAGAAATATCACGGCGGGGGACACCAGAAACGAACCCAGGTCTTCAGCATGACGAGCTAGGCTACCAACCGGCCCAAGAGCAGATACATCATAGCATGAGTAGATTTAGATTACAAGGAGTCTTAAGGGTGCTTTGTGGTGTTTCTGGTTAAAGTCATTCTCTGGACGTGGGTAAAGTGGTCCAATAGTCTGTGTTCTGTGACCAGATACATGACAGCATGGGTAGATTTAGATTACAGGGAGTCTTAAGGGTGCTTTGTGGTGTTTCTGGTTAAAGTCATTCTCTGGACGTGGGTAAAGTGGTCCAATAGACTGTGTTCTGTGACCAGATACATGACAGCATGGGTAGATTTAGATTACAGGGAGTCTTAAGGGTGCTTTGTGGTGTTTCTGGTTAAAGTCATTCTCTGGACGTGGGTAAAGTGGTCCAATAGACTGTGTTCTGTGACCAGATACATGACAGCATGGGTAGATTTAGATTACAGGGTGTCTTAAGGGTGCTTTGTGTTCTTTTTGGTTAAAGTCATTCTCTGGACATGGGTAAAGTGGTCCAATAGACTGTTCTGTGACCAGATACGTCACAGCATGGGTAGATTTAGATTACAGGGAGTCTTAAGGGTGCTTTGTGTTCTTTTTGGTTAAAGTCATTCTCTGGACATGGGTAAAGTGGTCCAATAGACTGTTCTGTGACCAGATACGTCACAGCATGGGTAGATTTAGATTACAGGGAGTCTTAAGGGTGCTTTGTGTTCTTTTTGGTTAAAGTCATTCTCTGGACATGGGTAAAGTGGTCCAATAGACTATGTTCTGTGACCAGATACATGACAGCATGGGTAGATTTAGATTACAGGGTGTCTTAAGGGTGCTTTGTGGTGTTTCTGGTTAAAGTCATTCTCTGGACGTGGGTAAAGTGGTCCAATGGACTGTTTTTAGCTCACCTGGCCCAAAGGACCAAGGTGAGCTTGTGCCATACCGTGGCATCTGTTGTCTGTCCGTTGTCCGTCATCCTTACATCAACAATTTTTTCAAACGACTTCTTCTTCTGAACCACTAATTGGAAATTAATGAAATTTGACTTGAAGCATCCCTAGGTGGTGGGGATTCAAAATTGTAGATATGGTTGGGTTGATCCCTCAAGGGGCTAAGGGGCAGGGCCAAATAGGAGTAATTTGGCTATGTTGCTTTAAGCGACTTCTTCTCTGGAACTAAGAGATAGACATCAACCATATTTGGTTGGAAGTATTCTCAGGTGATGGCAATTCACAGTTGTACAAATGGCGGTGCTGCAAACCGATATTATCCCCACCCTACACTAAACAGATAAATTGTATATGTTTGTTTGTTATAAGGAGAATAATACAATTATGCAAACAGGATCATAACATGGAAACGGTTGAGATCGTTATGCTACATTTGTATCTAGGGCCTCTGGTTTAGTGAAGTGAGGTGAAATGGGGCTAACGTAGTGTTCAAGATTGCTGCACTTACATTGCGACGAGCATGCACGTACATTGCAACATGCGTGCATGCATGCACACTTCTAGTCTGAACTTATGGCGATTTTATCAAGTAAGCCCACTAAAATAAATGGGTATCTCTTCAGCTCCATGAGTAACAGATTGAATGATTTCATTCTCTGATTTCTTCAAATCACCGTTCGGTTTCTTTGGATTCCGTTACAGGATATCAGAGCCCTCAGCCCGCACGGACAAGTTTGTTCTTTTGTTTAGCCTTACAGCTGAGCTGCCATGTCCTGTACATGCAGACATGGAGAAGGATTTGTACAGTGCATCATTAATGATAGGTTATTAAAAAGGCAAATGATGTATTTTACAGAAGGGAAAAGACATTGAGGATTTATACATACTGCAACGAGCAGGTCAAATAATTATAGTCCATCTACACAGCGCTTTATCCATGCATGAGGTCACTGCAACAAGCAGGTCAAATAATTATAGTCCATCTACACAGCGCTATATCCATGCATGAGCTCACTGCAACGAGCAGGTCAAATAATTATAGCCCATCTACACAGCGCTATATCCATGCATGAGCTCACTGCAACGAGCAGGTCAAATAATTATAGTCCTTCTACACAGTGCTATATCCATGCATGAGCTCACTGCAACAAGCAGGTCAAATAATTATAGTCCTTCTACACAGTGCTTTATCCATGCATGAGCTCACTGCAACGAGCAGGTCAAATAATTATAGTCCATCTACACAGCGCTATATCCATGCATGAGCTCAAAGATGACGATGTCGTATTACTACCCTGATCATCGGATACACTCCACCCAACATAAAGAAGCAGACAAACTCCTATTGCCCCCATGACCAGAACACGAGATGTACAGTAAAGCAGTGTGCATGTAAAGGGAAGTAACTGCGTGCTATATTGGATCGCATTGTTTTTAAATATTAGGATCTTCAAGTTTTCCTTTTTGAAAATGGAAATAAAAGCGAAACGTGTGGCAGAATTTATGATGATGCCGGCGGTGCCTGAGAACCAAGGATATCATTTGTTTGGCCTTAGTATAATATTCCCCAGATAATATCTGCATTCTTAGCGGCCATGATGGGCCTGGGTATGGGCAGATGAATGTCATGTCTGTTTGACATGTAAATGTCATGCACCAGTGTCACCTCAGTTCTGACCCATGTAGATCGGGGTAGAGTTGCCTTCAGCAACCCATGCATGTCACAAGAGGAGACTGAGGGGACTGGGTGGTCAGGCTTGCTGACTTTGTTGATGTATGTCATTGTATCACAGTTGCGTAAATTGATGCTCATGATGTCAATCACTGGATTGTCTTGTGCAGATTCGATTGTTTACAGACCGCCGTCATATATCAAACAACACTTCAGTTTCACACAGTCTGCCCCCTTGCCATGCCTGCACGCAGCATGTAATAAAGATATCCTGCATGGTCCACAGTGACTGACATTGTCAATATCATTATCAATTCTATAAACCCCTGACATGCGCCATTGATTACCTGTGTGACACAATTCATTTGGAAAAATCTTGAAACTGTCCAAATTACAAATGTGTAAATGTGTGTGTCTTTTGATCTTGTGTGTGTAAGCTATATGAATAGTTACATTTGGATTTCTATCAGCGTTATAACTACCGGTAGCACGTCTGGTCAGGCTCAGTGACTTGGTTGGTTGCATGTCCTGGAATCTCCTTTAAGTGTAGCGATACTCATGGTGTGGACCACTGGATTGTCTGATCCAGACTCCATTATTTACAGAAGCTGTCATAATTATAGCTATTGGAATATTGGAATAGTGTGGCGACAACACCCATACAAACCTGAATTAGCTATAAAAAGATAACTTTCGGTATATGTCTACAAGAACACTCACCATCGAATGTGTTAAATATTTACTTTTCTTTATATTTCTTTACTATTCGAATTTTGCCTAGTGTAGCCTGTCGTACCCACAGAGCGTGGGTCGTTACTCGTAATATCAATCACTGGATTGTCTGGTCCAGATGTGATTATTTACAGACTATTGGAATATTGCTGAGTGTAGCCTGTCGTACCCACACAGCGTGGGTCGTTCACATAATATCAATCACTGGATTGTCTGGTCCAGATGTGATTATTTACAGACTATTCGAATTTTGCCTAGTGTAGCCTGTCGTACCCACAGAGCGTGGGTCGTTACTCGTAATATCAATCACTGGATTGTCTGGTCCAGATGTGATTATTTACAGACTATTGGAATATTGCTGAGTGTAGCCTGTCGTACCCACA